GTGTGTGTGTGTGTGTGTGTGTGTGTGTGTGTGTGGGTGAGTGTGTTTGTGTGTGTGTTTGTGTTTGTGTAATGAGCCACCTTTTAAGACATGAAAGGCTTAATGTGAGAGGAGTCTTCAAATCTAGAATTGAAATATAAAGCTGTCGGGCAAAAATCAGAATCTGTGGCGAAAATCAAACTCGGGGCACTGGGGTTTTTTTCCGTCTCGCAGAAAACCAAAACCATCTGCTCACTCAAAGCGTTTCTTTATGTAGCCTGTGCGTGTGCCAAACCTCTCGCGTACCTGGATGGGTGGGGCTCTGAAGACGTGGCTGTTTTGAGTTTGTTTTTGTTTGGCACGTTTGTTTTTGAGGAGAAAAACACAGTTTGCAGTTTTACATTGCTATTTTTTAAAACCCTTTTCTTACAGATAAATGTTTGAAGTTATCCTTAACAAGCGAACTTTCGACTAGCCTGCGCTAAAATATAAACAAGGTGTATAAACAGTGCTATTATTCTGAGGATGAATTTGATTTTCCAGGCTTCGAATGCTATGCTAAAGATACCAATTTACTTTCGAGCACCGCCAGAGAATAGGGAGGAGTTGTGTGTGTGTGTGTTGGGAAGGGGAGGGGTGTGGTTGTGGAACGAAAAGTGAACAATTTTTGCAAGTCGTGAGTTCGGTGGATACGGCCTTGACAAAGTCAACGCAATTAGTGTAGAAATAGTATGAACACGTTATAGGTCCTGTGTTTATCATCAGATTGTCAAGCAAAAAAACAAAACAACAACAACAACAACAAAACAAAACAACAACAACTTTCAGTCTTCATACGAATAAAAAAAACCTTCGATATAATATCAAGCATATTACAATTTTCCTTTTCGCATCAGAATTTACCATAAACCAAATATTTTTTAAATGTTTTGTTGTCGTTTGCTATTCCCGTGGTATGCACTTAGCTGCACCTGAAAGGAACAGAGAGATCAAAAAGGGATTCGAACTCACCCGCTGCACAGAGAGGGGCACTCCAAACTCCCGTCCTCCGACGAGGCGAAATCCCCATGGTATGTCCGTGCTGGAGCGCTGCAGCCAGATCGTCTCCATGCTGGTTTGGGTTCGAGTCGTTACCACACCCTTAGACGCGAACTGAAAGACACAGGATCAGGTGAATGCTTTGTTACTTCTGGTTAAATTAAAGGTTTATTTAGCATAGATAGGCTGTCTGGAAGTCGAGCTCACACTCTAAGACGCGAACTGAAAGATGTAGACGAGGCGTGCTGACAAATAAATAAGTAACTTCTTTTATTTCTTTTTTTAGTAAAGATTTTTATAGCACTTGCAGCACAATTAGGCCATATATATTGCCGGAGATAAGGGGTGATCCAAGAAAGTAACAAACACAAAAAAGGAGAAGAGATAAGGACGGTAGACGTTCAAATAGGGAAGAAAGAGCCGACCACACCAGAGCACCCGCCAACCACTCATGGGGTTGCTTCTCGGATCTTAGCCTTAATGAAATAGATACGTCAAATTCACAGATTGAGGTGAGTTTGTACAAATGATCAGTATGAAATGATAAAAGACACGGTAAACTTGACGAAAATGGCGTCAGTGGAATATCTACAAATTTGACTCTTGTGTCAATTTTCGGCAGATATTATCCGCTTTCACGGATTGCAAGAAGCAATTCATTTTGTCAGCACACCTCTAAGTTGATTAAGTTTGAATTTGACGTTTATAGTTTATAGGCTGTTTTGGAAGTCGAATTTACACTCTCAGATGTGAACCTAAAAACACAGTCCGAAACCCTATTTCGTTACCAGCTAAGACACGTGAGGCTGACAAAGCGAAGAAAGATGAGGGGAGAGAAAAAAGAGACAGCAATAGAGTCAGGTAGAGAGAGAGAGAGAGAGAGAGAGAGAGAGA